ATTAAAATTTTAAAGCGAATTTACAAGTGCAGATAATTTTCGCAGATTCAAAGTCGGGTTCCTTTTTTAGTAAGCAGTCCTGACCCTAGTACTAAAAGGGATTATCTACAGTCATCACTTCAAGTGGTCGAACTAAAGTAATCCCCAACATCTCTGCCCCATTGCCCCAGGTTTTTCCCTTTCCAACGTCCCAGAGACATCCATGTTGTTTTTAAAAGCCAAATACTCAAAGAAAAAATGAACCTGGGTGGGAGGTAGGCGTATCCAAGGCTTCACGTGGGGGTCAAAGTAAAGACGCCTAATTTGTGAGCAGCCTTTGAGTTCTCACGCTCCTCCAGGCTTGGCTCCGGAAAGGGGATTCCCAGGCTGCAGCTCAGAACAGAGGATGAACCTCGCAGTCCGGTTTATTAACTACTTCAGCTGTTTGCAGCAAGAAGACAGGGAGAATCCTGCTCTGATTGGCTGCCTTTCTCTGATGTAACGGCTGCTCCCGCCAATCAATAGCCTGCATTCCAAGAGCGAGCGGATGAATTGTAACAGCCAAAGCCCTGGGAATTTAAATTAAGAAGAAGAAGAAAAAAAAAAAAAGCAATCACTCCCCAAAACAAAACCATAGGCACAGCTTTGCTTCTGAACGGACCCCAAGAGAGCCTGCTCTCTTCTGCCGGAAGCTCTCTGGACAGGCCTGTTCGCACCTTAATTCCTTGGCAACTCAGCCGAGTTCACACCCTTTTCAAAGTAGGTCATTCCAAATAATCTCGGCAAAGGCTGTCCCAGAGCTCGTGAGGAGGCTCAGACTTTGCAGTGGAGGGGAGGTGGCTACTGCGAGGTGCCCCTCTGGGAAGGAGCCTTGCTTTTTAAGCAAATACACTCTCTTGGCTTTTTATAATTGGTCAGGGACTATTCTGGACAAACCTCCAGCAGGACTTAAATGTGAACCTGAATGAGCATTCACTATCAGAAGGATGATGTCATCTTGATTCAGCTCTTTGTTCTTCGTGTTGAGAAAATTCATTGTTATTTATGATGCTGGTGAGTTATTTCTAAGAAGAAATGCTGCTACCCCCCACCCCCATGGAAAATGGAAGTAAAAATAGATCGAGGCATGCAAACATTTTCTAAATAACATACTGAGGAAATTCATATAAAACAAATGCATGGGTCATTAAAAACAAACGTCATACATGTTCTTAAACACATAACACTCATATGTAATTATTCACTCACACTGATAAAAAGGCAAACTCCACTTTCCTGATTACCCAGATGCACAGACACATGTCAGACACTGTTTGACACGTATGTGTTGTCTTTACACATGACCTACCTTCAGGTGTCATTGAGGTCATCTTTTGTATGCTGTTTCCTCAGCCTGCAATCTTTTCCCTTTCCTTTCTGGCAAAACGTATCCACTTTAAGCCTCCTCTTAAATTCTTCCTCTTTAGGAAACCTCTGGCTCCTGATTTTCAATGATTATTTCTCTCCGTTCAGAACCCTTGCAGCAATAAAAGCAACCGATAGCACACACCTAGGAATAGCTTATGTATAATGTGACCGCTCTCTAATTGTTTATTATAGCATAACTCCTGGAAAGCCAAGGCTAGTGTCTCATATTTCAATTGTATCAATACATCCCTCATACTTAGCACCCATATAACTTTAAGGACAAGGGGAGAAATCAAGGGGAGGTGGAAGAAAGAAAACTAACATTTATTGACTGCCTAGTAGGTACTAGCTGCTGTGTCAAGATTTCTATTGATTTTTTTTCTTAATTTAAAACTCACAACAGCCCTGGAGGGGAAGATTTCCTTTCCACCATTTTAAAGCTAGGAAGCAGATGCTTGGAACAGTTACATAATTTAGCCAAGATCAAACAGCCAATGGTCAGAAGAACCAAGATTCAAACAAAGCTATTCCACTCCCTGCTCTTTCTGCTACTCCCTGACTCTCAATCTTGGTTCAACAGCTTTTAGACATTTTGGAGGCTTTGCCCCAGTCCTGAAGATTTTGATTCAGATTTCTAAGTCCAGAAGAGCAGAGGGTGTTTATTTCTTTACCTTGCCAGCAACGCCTAGCATATAATAGCAGTCAGTGCATATTTGTTAAATGAAGAAGTGAATTCAACCTACCTAGAGCAATAGTTTTCAGGCCTGGCTATTTGTTAGAATACCTGGGGAGCTGATTAAGCAATGCCTCTCCCAGGCCCTAGCCCCAGAGATTCTGATGCAACTGGTCTGGGGTGGGGCTGCCTGACAGACATTCTAGTTTTCAATAACTCCCCTGCCGATTAACATGTGCAACCCAAGCTAAATCACTGGTCTAGAGTGAGGTCATGGCATCTGCAGATTTTTAAAATCTCCACAGGTAATTTGGATTTGCAGCAGGGGCTGAGAACTACTGCCTACACATCATGCTGCCTCTCTCTGGATTTTAGAAATGGGAGAGCATTGCTTTCTAAAAATAATCCTGTCAACAAGTACTGGCGTGCTCACCCATGCACAGCAGTGTGCCTGTTTGAGGTAAGTTATAAAAGAAACAATGGGGCTAGCTGGCTGTCACTTGTAACTGACTCAGTACTAACTTGTTCTTTGATTTTTCTCTGTCATAGACTAGTTGGAGAATGATTTATGATGAAAATGACAGATCAGGAGGCTTGTCTTACAACTAGGAGAAAGTCTTGTCTACCAAGCAAAGGGATAACTTTTAACCTGCCTGAGCTTCAATAACACATTTGTGGAAATGTTCATGCCCTGATGTGCATATTATCACTTATGAATATATGGGGGAGGATGGGGAAAATATTAAAACGCACAGCTTTCTGCAAGTTGAGAGATGGATAAGAAGAGGAGTAAAAGACCATGCCTTATGTGAAACCCACACATGTTTAGTAATGCCTCTAATAATCTGGAAATCATGGAAGGCTACACTATGGGTTTATCTATTGTTAGCTTTAAGAATTTCTTAAAATGCACTATCCAGGACATATCAGAAAACAATTTAATATTAGGGAGAGATGTTATTACTTGGTGTAATGTGTCTAACCAAATCTGATACATTAAACATTTCTAAAAGTTATATTGCCATCATATAATTATTATGAGTACATAAACAACAGCCACTGTTATGAATCAAAGAATGAGAACACTTTAAAGAGCAAATTATTTTACAGTTGGGGAAAATAACTTTTTATATGCACCATGAAGTTCATATGCAGTTAACAATAAGTGACATTTATTGAGCACTTAACTCTGGACTGGGCAGTCTTTGACATGCTTTTAGTTATTCATATTTAATCTTACAACAAAAAGAAGAAATAGGTACTATTGTCATCTCTTTGTACAAATAAGAAGTCTGGAGGCACAGAGGGGTTGAGTACCTTGCCCAAGGACCCACAGGTAGTAAGTAGTAAATAAACCCAGATTCAAATTCAGCAGTCTGATCCCATCGCTGATGGTTTTAACCAGTATACATGAGAAATGTTTTCTCTATGCTGATGTTATGTTGTTATTTTAAGCAATTGTGTCTTTTTTATGTGACCTTGACATATGTAATTGAGAAAACAAATTTCTGGAGGGAAAGCAACCATTGCTTTGTCCAAAATTGATTTTCACACTCCACTCTCCTTGGTTTCTACTACTAAACACAATTTCTAAAACACCTTTGTCACAAAAATGAAATGTAGTTCAACAAATATGTTAAGCACCAATTCTGTTTAAGATTAACGAGCAGGATTAGAAAATGAGCAAAATACAGCCCCGTCTTCAAGAATCTTCTAGAAATGCAGACAGATCCTGGAATCCCCATTTAAAATCCTTTTATCACTTTTCTCTCTTCATTTGGGTTCCAACTTCCCAACTCAGCCTTGGACAGACCTGGCAGGAATTGCTCCTTGCCATGAGGAAGTAAATTTCAACCACACTGCATTTCTCATGGAGCCTTAAGTGCTCCATAGCTTTTCCAAGGTCTCCACATGTGCTGTTCCCATCATCTCACACACAGGTCCCTCCCCCCCTGTCCACTTCTGCAGTTGGAAACCCTTCTGCCTCCTGCATCTCTCAGTTTATCAATCCTTTTCTACAGGAAAGCCTTCCCTGACCAGCTGGGACCAGCTCCAGCCCTCTGCCGAAGTCTCTCATGCTCTCTGTCTTTCATTCATAGCACTTAAACACACTGACTGTGAAGTTGGTAGGTGTAGTCATTTGTTGGGTGTCTCTGTTTCATCTACTTATCACGTCCCGTGAAGAGGGAGGAGAGTGTGTATTACTCCAATCCCTGAATCTATACCCCGAATTTCACCTTGTGGTAGAATCCAAATATTTGTTTTCATTTACATTGTTCCAGTCTCTGCCTCCTGGTCTCGTGGCCTTCCCCTCTGCGAGTGTCCACAGTTCTCCAAATCTCTCACTTTTTGCCATTGGATTTACAATTCCTAATCCAGTGTAACCCCATCTTAATTGGATTACATCTGCAATGACCTTAGTTAGGAACTCACATGCATAGATATTGGGGGCTAGGACTTGCACATAATTTTTGAGTGGGGTGCAATTCAACCCATGACACTTATGTGTATAAAACTAATTATTTTCCTTCTTCTATTTTTTATAAGAAGTGTTGGTGGTTATTTGAGCTTTTTCTCTCTTTCTTTTTTTCTCTCTTTAAGTGGTTAACCTAGGTACAGGTCTGTCAATTTTGTTGGCGTTGTTAACTTTGTAATTTAGTTTTGAAATTACAGAAGATCCAGGTGGGACTGTGGTTGAACTAGAAGTGGAATTAATAGTTCTCAGACGTAGATACGGTAATGGATACGATTTCAATCCTTCTCTTTTGGGGAAGAGTATCTTTGAGAGTATCTTCATCTTAACTAGAATAGTTGCATGCCGTTAGGCAGACACATGATGTTGCTGCTATTCCTGCTACGTGGAAGTTGAAGTGTGGTGACAGTGACAGTAGTGCAGAATAGCCAAAAACATTCTGGTTATTTGTGGGAGACGGATGGAACATTGACTGATGAGAGAAGAAGCCATTTTTGCTTGTTTGTTTCTTCTTGCTTCTGGAGGAGCTCCTGGAAGCTTCTGGGTTCCTACTCAGGCAGGACAGTTCCAGCAGCTGCAGCGGCATGGAGCTCGGACCCTGGCAGAGGTAGTGACAACAGTATGTGGCTTTGGGCTCCTGGGCCCCTGCACTTCAGTGTGAGTGTGAGCTCCTGGTTGAGTTCTTTTGTTCCTTCTCTAATGCTCTTGCTTTCTTTATGGAGATCTGAGTTTCTGATGTATATAATCACACTTTTTTCCTGAAATTTTTCTTTTAACATTTCTTTCAAGGCAGGCCTATTTGTGATACATTTTATTAATTTTTATTTGAGAAAATCTTTATTTCACTTTTAAAAGATCATTTCATCAAGTAGGGATACAAAATTCTGGATTGGTGGGGTACTTTTAACCCCTCAAGTATTTCACTTCGTTCTTTTCTTGCTTGCATGGTTTCTGAAGAAAAGACTAATGCAATTCTTGCCTTATTCTTCTGTATGTGAAGTGGGCTTTTTAAATCTCTGGCTTCTTTCAAGCTGTCCGGTTTTTTGCAATGTGTCTATGATATGTATAGGTGTAGATTTTGAGGTATTTATCTTGCTTGGTATTCTCTAAGTTTCCTGGCTCTGTAGTTTGGTATTTGTTATTAATTTTGAAATAACCTCAGCTATTATTACTTCAAATATTTCCTCTGTTACTTTCTTTTTTCTTCTGGTATTCCATTAACACACATGTTATACCTTTTTGTAATTGCCCCACTGTTCTTGCATAGTCTGTTCCATCTTTTTCATTCTTTTTTTCCTCTTTGCATTTTGGCTTTGGAAGTTTTTATTGATGCATTTTCATTGAGGGAAAGTGTTCTATAGCCCTATCATTAGGTCTCAATATGAATTTGTTATTGCCCTTTCCTCATGTCAAAGGCTAGAGGGGGCTAAGGATGGGACTTTCCCTTCCCCCGGACTGGTTATAGTCTGGTAAAACCCCACAATTTTGCCCTGACGGCAGTCTTTACTGAGGAGAGCAGAATACTCTAAGAATAGTCAAAATGTTTACGCTCCGCCTCCCCTTACCAGAAGAATGGGGGGGGGGGGTCTGCCAGTCTTCACAGTGGGAATCTGGTAGGGCTCCTAGAGGCAAAATTCAGGAAACTGTGAGGGCCCCTCTAAAACCAAGCCTCCTAGAAGTCTCTGGCTAGAGTACAGAGAGCCTCCAGTAATGTTAGTTATGATGTAAAATGTTTCAGCTGTAGGCTTCCATTCCAGGTGAGCTGTGACTCTATGTATCTACCTGCCTGTCTAACCAGGTTCAGGGGCAGCAGTTTGCCCTGTGGCCTCAGTTCTCTGGTTATCTAAGAGGAGTCATTGAATTTTAGTTTTTTAGCTTTTGTTCTTGTTGTGAGGACAGGAGTGATGCCTTCCAAGCTCTCTACAGGTTGAACTAGCAACTGGAAGTTCAAATAGACTTCTCAAAGTTTATTTTATTTATTTTTTTAAGATTTTTTTATTTATTTATCTTTAGAGGGGAAGGGGGGAAGGAGAGAGGGAGAGGAACATCAATGTATGGTTGCCTTTCTTGCATCCCCTGCTGAGAACTGGCCTGCAGGGAACCAACCCAAGCATGTGCCCTGGTCTGCAACCCAAGCATGTGCCCTGACCGAGAATCGAACCGCGATCATGTGGTTCGCAGGCCCACGCTCAATCCACTGAGCTACACCAGCCAGGGCTCAAAGTTTATTTTAGAAAATTTGAAAAAATATTCAGTGGAAAACAAAAATCAACAATAATTCCACTACCCAGAGATAGTTAGTATTAAACTGTGGGTATATATTTTTTCTATTCCCATAATGTATATATATGTGTGTATGCACATGTATGAATGATATGAATGAATGATATAGGTAAAATAATTTTAATAGAATTATGCCATGCGGCTCTGACTGGTATCGCTCATTGGGCCTATAAACCAAAGGGTCACTGGTTTGACTCCCAATCGGGGCACATGACTGGGTTGTAGGCCAAGTCTCTAGTAGGGGACGTGAAAGAGCAACCACACATTGATATTTCTCTCCTTCCCTTCCCCTCCCTCTAAAAATAAATAAATAAAATCTTCTAAAAAAAGAATTATGCCATGCTATACATAGTTTCATAACCTTATTTACTCACAATCTGTTATATATTTTCCCATGTCAGCAAATATTTTACATTTAATTGCTTAATAATTGCAAATACTGCAAAATATTTGGTCATATGAGCATATCTTTATTTATTTGGCTTATTTAATTGGGGGTAACATAGCAGAGAAGTTAAAGTCATACATTCTGAGATTAGATTGTCTGGCCCAAACCCTAGTCCTTTTGCTTACTAGCTACATAATCTTGGGGAAATTATATAACCTCCCTGTGTCTCAGGTTTTCCATCTCTTAAAAAGGGACAGTGAAAACACCTATCTCTTAACTATTATGAGAATTAAGTGGGATAATCAAGATTAAGAAGTACATAGAAAAAATATTTAAATGTTTATAATATTTCACTGGCAAAATTAATTTCAAAATAACCTACTTTGCATCTTGTTTGGGTATAAAAATATAAAATAGTTTTCATAAGATTTTATTTATTTATTTTTAGAGAGAGGGGAAGAAAGGGAGGAAGAGAGGGAGAGGAACATCGACCCACTGCCTCTCACACACGCCCTACCTGGGGACCAGCCGGCAACCCAGACATGTGCTCTGGCCAGGAATTGAATGATGACCTTCTGTTTTTGTAGGAGGATGCCTAGCCAAATGAGCCCTGCTGACCAGGGCAAAAACATGTAAAATATTTTAACACATGTTACAATGTACTTGCCCTGTAGTGATTTTCCTGTGGCAAAACTACTTATGGAAAAACTTGGCCTGAAGTTTTTGCTAAACAAAAGATGTCAGAGGCCTGAAGGTATACCTTCTACCTGGAAACTTGAGTGGTATGATGGAGAAAGGCTGCTTCTTTTATGGTTGGAGTGCTGCTCTAGAGATCAGACTCAAACTCTGTTGCGTTTCTATAGCATCATTTCCATTCTAAGGTAAATAACAATGTCTTATGCAAACAAACAGGCATATAAAAAACTATAAAGCGTAAAACAAAACGAAATGATACACACAAAGCAAACAAAACCCTAAACAAACAATAACTTCAAACTCAAAACTACTATTTTCCTTAAAAAGCTCATAGTTCCTTTGGGTCATTTTAATTATTTGTGTCATTAATTTCTTACTGCCATGTAGAGTTCATCAGGCAGTAAGAATTCTTTCATTTGTGGGTTTTGTTTTTTGAGCCTTTCTGATCAACCAAGTAGGTCCAGGCTGAAGCCCATTCATGTTTTGTAAGCACTGATTTTGTATCTCAGGCCATCAGTGTCTGTCAGCATAAAAGAGGCCAGTATCCCTTGGACCTTGATGGTCTAACAAAAAAACCTCAATCTTTTCTCATGCCCTTATTCCTATCACCTGGCACATCTCGCTGGCTACCAAGTTCCTCTGTTGTTTTTTTCCTTCTGGGATGTCTCTCAAATCCATCCTCCTGGTACAATCATACATCAGCCCTCATGTACCATTTGGCCTATTATAACATTTTCCAGGCTGTTCCTCATTCCTTCAGATTTTCGCTGTCAAACCTTTCTTCACAACATTTTTGCCTCTCCAAAATACTAATCTGATCATGGAACTCCTCATGAATCCTGATATTGCTTTTGTGTATCATTCAAAGCCCACACACACTCCCAGTCACATTTTCTAGGCAGTTTTTTATGGGAATTCTCCCCCTTCCTGACTCACTTTCCTGATCCCTTGCTTCGTAGACCACTCTGCCCCTGTTCCAATCCCCAGTTTTCTTTACTTTATCCTTTGAGGCCTGGTTCAGATGCCACCTCTTCTGGGAAGTCTTTGTTCCCCTTTTTCTTTTTAGGCAGAATGAATTGCTCCATCCTTTGTGCTTTGTCAGTGGGCTTCTCATAAGATACCCCACGTGGTACCCTATCACAGAGCCTGGGCATGGGTGCTGTATCCCTCACTGGGTCCGAGCTCTGAGCCAGGGGCAACACTATGTTCATCTCAGTAACTCCTTTCATCTCCTAAACCTAAGTAAACAGTACATACTCAATAAAGGTTTCTGAGAACTAATCTTGGAATTTAATGTTAGTTGTTGTCAATAAACTTATGGGTGTTCCAGTGATTGAAAATTGTATTTCACGGGTGCATAAACATCTAACTATTGCAAGGCACTCTTACTTACCTGCGAATGCTAATTCTCTTGCTTTAGAGCTATAGATATACACATTAAAGAAAGCCAAGCCTGAGCTGGGAGGTCCCTAGAGGCAAGTTGGCTCAATACATCTCATTTTACAGTTGAGGAAACTGAGGCCTAGAGAGGTTAATGCTCTTGGCCAATGTGAATGGAGGAGGAAAATAGAGTAGAGATCTCAGTCCAATTCAAGATGCTTTTCAAAATTAAGTCAGAACTTTAAGAAACAAAAGCTGCAATTGAGATTTGGCTAATTCAAATTGGTTGGTTTCTGCCCCCCCCCTTTAGTTTAATTGAATTAAGGAGCTATAGTTGTAGCTGATATTTTTAAACTTCTGCAATTTTTATTAGAAAACACTGACCCACAAATGTTAAGGTAAGCATGTATCTCACCAGCTTTTTCCCCACTACCTATTGTCTGAGGATGCTGGTGAAGTAAAGTGCAATAAGGTGTCCCTGAGCTTGCAAATGTCATTTTGACAACACTGAGAATCCATACCTGACTGATGGGGCCAACTGTAGACTCAGTTAAGAAAGAGGCTCTGAAAAATCATCAAGGCCATTTGAAGTGACTTAATTATAATTTCAGGGACATAGGACTAGAATGTGAGTTTAACTAAGCTGATCAGTTGTATTGTACTATAGAGCACAGCTTGACTAGAATCTTTAAAAGTGAACACTAGAGGTTAAGAAATGTGTCTATCCATTATTATCCAAGGATGGGCACACTGCATCTGAGCTTCATGAGCATCATGATCGCCACAGGGGGGTGTTTATGGGAAGGCAAGGTGGTTCCCTCCCCGGGCTTTCCCATGGCCTGTGAAAAGTAGCTCTAAGG